AAGTTGCGGTAGATGATGTTGATGCTGTGGAAGGAGCAGAAGACGGTGACGTGGTTGTGGAGGCGGGGAAGGCGTTCGTGGTTGTGGAGGCGGAGGCGAAGGTGTCCGTGGTTGTGGAGGCGGAGAAGGTGTCCGTGGTTGTGGAGGCGTAGGTGAAGGTGTCCGTGGCTGTGGAGGCGGAGGTGAAGGTGTCCGTGGCTGTGGAGGCGGAGGCGAAGGTGTCCGTGGTTGTGGAGGTGGGGGTGAAGGTGTCCGTGGTTGTGGAGGCGGAGGTGAAGGTGTCCGTGGTTGTGGAGGCGGGGAAGGCGTTCGTGGTTGTGGAGGCGGAGGCGAAGGTGTCCGTGGTTGTGGAGGTGGGGGTGAAGGTGTCCGTGGTTGTGGAGGAGGGGGTGAAGGTGTCCGTGGTTGTGGAGGTGGTGAAGGCGTTCGTGTGATGCTCTTGGCCCATGTCCATGGTACCGGCTTGGTTCGGTTCCGCCTCACAACTTGATACCACCACACATATCGTGTTCGGATAGTGTTGCGCCCCTTCCAGTATGTCCATAAGAAGTAAAAGCCAGTACTGAACAGCAGCACCCCGGCCACAGCGATGGCAGCAACAAGGAAAGTTTCACGTTGGCCATACTGAAATCGAATAATGGAGCGCTGGGACTCAGGAGCTGGGAATATAAACGGAGCGTCGAGGAATGAACCAGTGAGGTAACGCGATATGGGCATGAGGGGGCACTGCCATTGATAAACAAAACAAAATACGAAATGATGGCGTAGCATACGTAAAGGCACAACAAGTCCAAGTCACACACAAGCGAAAGGGTGAACACGTTTGAACGCGAAGCAAACTGCTCACCCATCGTGATTGACGGGAGTGTAGGCAGGGAAAATGTGGACGATGAGGTACTGGTTGTTTGTGTAAATCGCAATGATGGCGTAGCTCCGGCAGTCGTGAACGCGATCACTGTCAAATCTTGCTCATCCTTGTCCAACGCAAAGACAATCAACGCAGAGAGCAAACACAACAATGATTGCACACGAGCAGGGCAAATCAGGAATGAGATAGCGACACCGTCATTACAGCAGACATTGAATACATGGAACAGTGAGAGATTGGATGGCACAACATCCCAGCTCACGTACCAGCTCTGGATTGAGGGGAACGGTGACTTGCAAGGTGTGTCCTGGGTGGCCGGCGTAGAGCAAGGTGCCGCCGTCGTTGTCCCTGTTGATATGCCACAGCTCGTACCGGGTGATGTTTCCGTTTGGCGTTACAGGCTGGGTCCACCGCACCACTTGCTCCTCGCGCGCCACCCACGTGCCGTTGGCAGCATCGCGATAGTGGTTGGTGCACACCTCGACCGAGGGTGTCCCGGGAAATGATGGCGCTGTGGTGATTGTGCGTGTGTGTGTGTGTGTGTGTGTGTGTGTGTGTGTGTGTGTGTGTGTGTGTGTGTGTGTGTGTGTGTGTGTGTGTGTGTGTGTGTGCATGTGAGTACATCCCAGTCCCAGTCCCAGTCCCAGTCGCAGCCACAGTCACAGCCATAGCAACTACACCCCAACAACACAAACACGCACCACCCGTCCTCCCACACGCACACGCACACGCACACGCACACGCACACGCAGTTGTGCAGCAGGTACGTACGTGCATCTGCGGTCGTGAGGTTGACGGGCAGGCGTGTGTCTGATCCGCCGTACTTGTTGAACGCGCGCACAACCAGCGAATATGTGGTGGCGGGGCGAAGGCCACTCAATACCAGTCCCGTCACATTCCCAGCCACGATTCCAACCAGCAGTGTCGTGTTGTCCTGAGCAAGGTGTGTGTGTGAGTGTGTGTTTGCATGTGAGCACGTATGAGAGCGTGTGTGTGTATGTGTTTGTGTGCAAGCCAGGAACACCAACACAAACGCCAATGCATAACACAAGTGCACAACACCAACACACCAAACCAACACCAACACAACAACGCGTACATCAACACACCAACACACACACACCAACAACAACGCAGCATGTGCACACCTGTATGGTCGGGTAGTTGGGAATGTGCTGTAGCACGCTGGTGCGGAAGACGAGGTAAGTTTGCACTGGCGCCGCACACGATGACGCAGGCGTCCAGGTCACATTGAGCGTGTACGCTGTTGCGTTCAGCGCCATCACACCATCCACCGCATCGGGGACTGCCGTTCGTGTTGGGGCGAAAGGTGGTGAGCACTCATGCCGCGTGGCAAAGAACGAGCAATCGACAACATGTACACAATGCAAATGCACTCCCGCCACATGTACACACGAGCAGAAACGCGCACATGAACACGCACAGCACAGCACACGAAAGTACATGTGCACAGCACAGCACAGCACACGAAAGTACATGTGCGCAGCACAGCACAGCACAGCACAGGAAAGTACATGTGCACAGCACAGCACAGCACAGCACAGGAAAGTACATGTGCACAGCACAGCACAGGAAAGTACATGTGCACAGCACAGCACAGCACAGGAAAGTACATGTGCACAGCACACACACACACAATACACAGCACCCACAATGCACACAACACACACACACACACACACAACACACAACACCCACAATACACACATGCAACACATACGCACCTCCACTGGGCATGGTCACGTTGGCTGGCACGCTTGGTTCGCTTGGCAGCGCTGCGTGGGCAATGACAAAGAAGGAGACAGCTGCGCCCGGCACAAGGTCCGCCACAACAGCACTCGTCTCTGCACCCGCGTACACACGCGCCCCAGTGTCGCCGCGATACAGCTCGTAGCGGTCAACAACGTCAACACTCCGCTCAGCCGGCGGCTGCCACGACACGCGCACGCGGTCCGCGCACAGCACATCAATGGTCGGTGGCAGTGGGCGTGGCGGGGGGTGTGGGGTTGGGCACGCACGTGTACGGCAAAGACAGCGGGCCTTCGCCGGCGGTTGTGTTGGCTGAAAGCACCACCGCATACGTGCTGTTGGTCTCCAGCATCGTCCACACATACACGTTGTCGGCAGTGTTGGTGGTGTTGGTGGCGGTGGTGTTCGGCTTGAATGTGTTGTGTTGGTGGTTGTTGTGTTGATGGTGGCGAGCACCTGCGGTGTTGCCAGCTGCACCCCTACTCGCGGGCTCGTGATCAAGATAGCGACTGCACATGTGGGGGGGGGGGGGAGGCGTGCGCGGGCGTGATTTTGGGGGAAGGGAGGCGTGTGAGGCCAATAGGAGAGAGTGAGAGAGAGAGCAAAGATGGAGGAGGTGCACGCTGTGCATGGATCATGTTTGGTGTGGACGTGCACAGCAGAAACGACGCACACGGGAAGTGCACACATGAACGTTGAGATTCGAATGGGATATGGTCGTGCTGACACACACACACACACACACACACATATATATATATATATATATATATATATATATATATATACTCGCACATACACACAACGCACGCAAAGACGCAGACGCAAGCACGCACAGACGCAGACGCAAGCACGCGCAAACGCACACACACACATACACACACACACATACACACAACACACACATACACACAACACACACAACACACACACACACACACACACACACACACACACTGAGCCTTTCGTCACACGCTCACCACTGGTTGTGCGGGAGCGGTGCGCGCGTGTCGCCAGGAGGGAACGAGGTATTGGTGCAGGTGACGGGAAGCCACGCGTCCGTGGTGTTGTGCAGGCGAACATCGAGCGTGTAGTAGTCGATGGGAGCAAAGTTGCCGTGGGGCCGCGGCCACGCAGCGGTGGCACTCGTCGGTGCTGCCGATGTCACGTTGAGTGTGGATGGCGCATCAGGATCAACTGCACGTCGGGGCATGTATATGTGTGCATGTGTGTGTGCATGTGTGTGTGTAAGTGTGTGTGTGTGTGTGTGTGTGTGTGTGTGTGTGTGTGTGTGCATGTGTGTAAGTGTGTGTGTGTGTGTGTGTGTGTGTGTGTAGTGTGTAGTGTGTGTACGTGTCAATGTGTGTACGTGTCAATGTGTGCACGTGTCAATGTGTGCACGTGTCAATGCACGTGTCAATGCGCGTATCTGTGAAGAGATGGGTGATGCTGGTGCTCGCAAGGACAAAGCCCATGAGTAAAGGCGTGTGCGGGCACAGACAATAGTACACGCATCATGTGTTTGTGCAATGTGTGTGTACTGTCTCTCATATGGGCAGGCATACCACACCTCGGGTGCAGATGGTGATTGGCCCTGTTGTGTCTGCGATGAGGTGACCAGCCACCCTTTGCGGGGCGGCGCATGCGACAAAGGGGAGGTCTTGCACAATGGAAACAGCGTCCCGGAACCACTCCATGCCGCAGCAGTACCACGGGTTGTCGCGCAAGTACCTGCAAGGTTGCAAGCAGCCAGCCATCATCGTGTCCACATGCGTGCGAGTATGTGAGTGGCTGGCAAAGCAAGACAACTTCGCAATGGCGGAGTAATCCAGGCACGAAAACTGTCGAGGTGCAACGTACAGTTGTGTGAGGTTGGCCCAGCGCGTGTCGTTGTTATACGCCAGCGTCTCCAACGTGTTGTTGTTCAGTCGCCTGTGTGTGTGTGTGTGTGGTGGCCATGATATGAATGCAGATAGGATGAGCAAAAAAACTTGGTGCAAGGGTGCGTTTGTGGACGTGGATGTGGATGTGTATTGTCGGTGTATAGGGGGTGCACGCACGTGTGCCATGTGTGTGTGTGCGTGCGTGCGTGTGTGTATGTGTGTGTGTGTGTTCAGTGAGAGGTGGTTTCGTTCTTGTCGTCTTCATGTGCGCGTACAGGATGCTGAGTGGATTGTTGCCGATGACGTCAATGGAAAACGATGCCAGCCGGTTGTCGGCCAGTCTCCTGTCATTTGTCACGCAGGCGCAGGCGTCACGCAGGCGCAGGTGCGTCAGCATACACGAGCAAGCAAGTGTCACCGAAGGCACACACGCAAAGGCACACAACACAGAAAGTAACAAGCGTAATTGAACAGACACACGCACACACGCACACATACACACACGCACACGCACACGCACGCACGCACACACACACACACAGACAGACAGACAGACATTGGTGTACGCACAGGGAGGCGAGTCGCGTTTGGGTATCAAACAGTGTCGGTGGCAGCTCGGTCAAATCGTTGTCAGACAGGTCACTGCGAGCCACACCAAGGGTTGCAGACACACACGCTAGTGAGGTGACGCGTGCTCACGTGATGCACAGATGACAAGGGGTCGCCACGTAAATATACATGTGTACACACACGCACACAGGCACGCATCGAGTGTGCACGAAATACAAGCACAAAGGCAAGAAAGAAACGCACAGATGTGTGAGGTTATGCAAGGCATCAAGCACGCTTGGGGCCAGCACTGAAATGCGATTGGAGCTCAGGTCCCTGCATGCATGCATGCATGCAAACGAGTAAGTGAGTCAAAGAGTGAGTGGGAGGGTATGTGCGTGCATGCGCGTGTGTGTGTGTACGTGCATGTGTGTACATGCGTGTGTGTGTGCATGTGTGTGTGCGTGTGTGTGCGTGTGTGCATGTGCGTGTGTGTACAAATGTGCGTACAAATGTGTGCGTGTGTGTGTCACGCGAGGAAACGCACAACATCCATTACGCAGCACACACAACAGCTTACAACAGTACACAATAGCAGACAGCACAACGCACACGCACACGCACGTGCACACGCACACGCACAAACGCACAAACGCACAATTCGCTGAGATGTGGTGCATCCGAAAATGCAAGCGGGGCAATGAACGACAGGTCGTTGTGGGACAAGTCACTGGTGTTGGCGGTGTTGGTGAATGGTGGTCGTGGTGGTGGTGACAATGAGAGCAAGCATTGCACGCGAGCATACACAGGAATTCGGATGTATGCATGTGAGTGTGCATTTGTTCTACGAACGCAGAAGCATCGACACACGCTACACGCATGCACAGACACAAAGCGAATACCACACACGTCGTGCACACACGCAGATTGCACCCATATACGTTCGCACATACACGCACGCACGCACACACACACACACACACACAATATATATACACAGCACAACATACACGGCACGATGCAAAGCAGTGATCATACAGGGCACGGAGGTTGGCGTGGTCGAACGCCATATCGTCCAGGCCTGTGATGCGGTTGTGCCCGAGGTTGCTGCAGCCGTGGAGCAGAAGCAGTGGAGCAGTGTGCATGTGCACACGCAGTAAGTTGAATGTTTGTGTGTGTGTGTGTGTGTGTGTGTGTGTGTGTGTGTGTGTGTGTGTGTGTGTGTGTGTGTGTGCGTGTCTACGCTTGTAGCTTTCTACGTTGTGTGCGTGTGTGCGTGTGTGTGTGCGTGCGTGCGTGTGTGTGTGCGTGCGTGCGTGTGTGCGTGCGTGCGTGCGTGTGTGTGTGTGTGTGTGTGTAAGCGGTTGTGTGTGCGTGCCCGAATCAAACCCATGCAGTCACACAGAGCGACAGAGATTTAAGCACAGCGTCGTCCTTGCTAACGTACAGGGTGGCCAGGGTGAACATGTCGGTGAACTGGCCCATGTCAACAAAGGTGAGGCGGTTGTGCTCAAGATCACTGTCAGCCATGCCCGATGAACAACAATGCATACACAGCCACACAAGCAGCGTTTTGTACACACACAGAGATGTGTGAGCGCTCGGGACCAGATACGTCTATACGTACATGTGCAGAGCGTGTATTTGCACAGATACATGTACGCTGCGCACCCACCAACACACACACATGTACATGCACACACACACATACACACACATACACATGCACATGCACATGCACATGCACCCATGCACACACACGCGTGTGTACTGAATTGAATGTGCTCGAAGATACACGAGGACGACTGACAGAGTGCGGAGGGGCAGCAGCTCAGCCAAGAACGGCAGCTTGCTCAGGGCGTTGTCCACAATGGAGCTGAAGGCGCACCCGCACGCATGTAGCAGGTGGTCATGTCAGGTTTGAGGGAATCACAGAGGGTGGACAAGTGAGCGAACGAGAGAAGGGGAAAACGCAACTGCGGGTGTCGTATGACCAGTGTTGTCTGCACGTGCACACACAAGCAAACACACGTGCACACACAAACACGCACACAGACACACACGTGCACACACACAGACACACACGTGCACACACACGTGCACACACACGTGCACACACACATGCACCCATGCACACACTGACACATGCACACAGACTCGCGCACAATAACGATTGTAGACGAGACATCAAACGTACAGGATGGCAAGGTTGTGCAAGCCAGCAAATGCGCCGGCATCCACCGTCTCAAGCCCGTTGTCATCCAAATAGCTGTGAGGGTGGCAAGCGTTGGAGGTGGTGGGCAGACAGAACGGCGGGGGAGGGGGTTATGTGACAATACATCATGATGGGGAGAACAAATCGTGGTCACAAACAGGCAGTGGAACATAGCAGCACAGCACCAGTTCCTGCAACCCTTGCAGCTACAAGCACCCAAGCACCGAATCACACCACCGACACGATCACTGCAGAGCTGCATGCATGCGCCGCCGTGAGCAACAAACACACAGGGTGTGGAGGTTGGTGAGGTTCTGCATGGCGCGCCCCGGCAAGGACGTGATCTTGTTGTTTGACAAGCTCCTGTTGCAGAGAGAAGAGCAAGGGGTGGGAGGATGGAGAAGGGAAATGGGAGTTGAGAGGGAAATGTGAAATATCACACATGGGCACATGAGCACACATGGGTACATGGGCATGGGTACATTGGCACATGGGCACATGGACACGCTCATGAGTCCACGTAGGCACACACGGACACATGGGCACACATGGACACATGAGCACCCACACACACACACACACACACACACTCACTCACTCACACACTCACACACACACACACACATGCACGCACACACATGCACACACACACACACTCTCTCTCACTTACAGGATTGTGGTATTGATGGGTATGTGTGCGGGCACGGCAGCAAGTCCATGACTTCTGCAGTCAACGACAAAGTCTTGGCCATCCTCGTAGCACGTGCACAATGCGCTCTTGCCCTGCACAGTGCACGCACCTTGGCCCCGCACCGGCACCGAGCCAGCTGCAAGGACGGTAAGAACAAACACCACAGCAAAGAGGCGGCGGACGACATGATGGCGGCGGGAGTGGCAGTGCAAGGCAGCCCCGCTGCATCGTCCACGCACACCCTCGTCCAGCAGCATGGTTGTGTTGTGGACGGGTGTGGCTGTGTGGGGAGTGGTGTGTAGGTGTGTAGGCGTGTTCCTGAGCAACTGATGGTGTCAAAGGTTGGTCAACCTCGGGTCTTCTTCATCAAGCAAATTGTTAGTTCGACGAAGAGTCGAGCAGCCTGCAGACAGCGAGGGAGAGTGAGCGAGGGAGAGCTGGTGTGTGGTGTTGTCGTGACACTATCGAGCGTGTTTGTGTGGGTGGTTGGGAAGCATGGTGTGATTATTGTGTATGGCTTCCATTGATCTTCTGCACTCGCCGATGCCTCGCTCGTTTGCGTGCTTGGGTATTGCGCACTTGCGCGTCGTGCGTGTGTGTGTTGTTTGCCCTTTTTTTGTTTGTTCGTTCTTCTCAGCAACCACCACCACACACACGCACGCGAGTGAGGTGTCCACACGTCGAACAAACACAACCAAACACAACCAAACACAACCAAACATACCAACTTATTACAAGCTCATCAACAGACGACGACGACCGACGGGAGGGAGCCGCAAGACCAAGCACGCACTTGCAGGCACGCACATATATACACGGGCGAGGCGTAGGGCTCTTGGTTTGTCTGTTGCTGCTTGCTGGGGGGCTGCTGGGTGGCTGGGGTAGTTGGGGTGGCTTTGTTTGGGGTGTGCGGGTCCTCTCTTAACCTCTCATCTACTTGTACATCCATACTATCATACCTCCGATCAACAAGCTGAATTGGAACTCAAGTACAAAATTTTATAAGCGCTTACATGCCCATACTCCCATACATGGTCGTTGCACTCCGATGACAGTCAAACAACTCTCAGGGGGCAATGCACGCATCCACCGCGACGCCAAACTAGCTGAGCTTGCAACCAAGCACGCAAGTATCTCAACTTGTGGGCCCATCCTCATGCAAAAAGGCAAAACACACTCACACACACACAAGGAAACTCGATTTGGACGAGTGACATGACATCATGCCACACGATAAATGCACCATTCGAACCTTTGACGAAGCAACAATAAAGAATTCATCTCATGCGCACTTGCTGCAATTGTTATCACCTTCAGGGGACTGAGTTGGGTAGGGAGAGGGCGGTCTCTTCAACAAGTGCATTCTCACTGAATGCTGTCATGCTCGTAGCAGCTGCAACGTCGTCAGTGCCCGTGCTGTTACTATATCTGTTGCTGTTGCTGTTGCTGTTGCTGTTGCTGTTGCTGTCAAGGGCCCCTGTGTCGCCGCTGCCATTGTGGGCACGCGGCTGGTTGACCAACGGCACTTCCTCATCATCTGTGTCAGAATCACTGCCAAACCCTGTCACAACTGAGCGTAGCACGCTTGTAGCTGCTGAGGGCAGGCGGTCGGTGAAGCCCTCAATCTCCTCTGCCACCCTGGACTTGACTTGCTCCACACCCTCCAACAGCATCTCACGTGCAGCTTGGATGTGCTCCTCCACCGTCGAGAGAGCGCTTTCTGTTGCGGCCCGCAGCGATGCTTCCAACCCTTCCCCAATCGCGACAACCTCCCCCAAGCTGTCCATCGCATCCCCAACTGTGCTGTGTACGAGCTGGGTGAAGTCGGTCTTCGTGTTGCGGAGAATGGCGTCGACCTCCCCCAGCGCAGTGCTCACCCCGCGTCGCAACTGCGCATCAACGTCGCCTTTCGCCTCCGCCAGCTTGAGCGTTGCTTTAGCCAGCGTCGACTCGGCCGAGCTCTGCAGCTGCACACCCATGTCCTCCCGTGCACGCGTGATGGCTGTTGTGATGCGCGCCACGTGCCTGTCGATGTCCGCGTTGTCCTGTGCGGCGTCACGCAGCTCCTCCTTGAGGGTGCTGCCGAGGGCGAGGATGTGCGCCTCCATGCTCTTCCTGGAGTCGGCGACAGCTGCGCGGATGTTTGCCTCAAATCCAGAACGCACGTCCTCAAATGACGACAATGCAGCCGTTGCGGCACTGCTGGCCGCTTCTCGGACGTTGGTGTCAAGCGTGTCGCGTGCGTGGTTGATTTGCCGCTGCACTTCCTCGGCCATATCCTGCCCTGCTGTGCGCAAGGAGCCGGTGAGGGTCGAGGACACGCCGGCGACGGCGTCCTCGACGTCGTGCATGGCCAGCTTGGCCGCCTTGCGAATGCAATGCTCGAGCTCAACACTAAGCGTGTCAACCCCTTCCGCAAGCGCGGATCGCGCCTCTTGTGTCACCTCCATGATGTTCGCGCCAACAGCGTCCTTCATGCCGTTCAGGCTCGGGAAAACAGTCGAGTCTGAGCTGTTGCGGCGCTTGCACAGCACGGTCACCACAATGCTCTGCACAAGTGTGAGGAACGCAAGGACCGCGCCAATGACGATGTACAGGTCCTTGTTCGGATCAACGGCGCAAGCGCTGGAGCCTTCCGTGTCTGTTCCATTCAATGCGCCTGGATTGACCGTGGTTGAAGTCGCGCTGGCAAGCGGACAGCCGACAAGGGCCACGCGAATGCGGTATCGTGCATTGCCGGATGGGGCCAGCACGGCGATGCTGATGGTGGTGTCACTAGAATCGCTGTTGCCGTAGGTGATGATGTCCTCAACACCTTCGCCTTCGTAGCTGAAGCCTTGTAGGACGTCGGCGTTGTCGTAGAGCTGCGCGTTCGCGTTGCCATCCAGTGAGGTGACCGTGACTTCAACTTGGCCCTTGGCGCATACGGCAATGGACCAGAACTCAACCTCAAACGGAGACTCGATGTACCCGCCTTGAATGTCGCCATCCGTAAGCTCAACAGCTTGGTCGGGCGCGGGCCCCCCTGCGCCCTCAGCAGTAGGTGTTGTTGTCGCAAACAGGAATGCTGCGCACGCGCAGACAATGGCGACAGCGTTCACGGCGGAAGACATACTGGCACTGCGACACTTTCGCTCTCCTTCGGTTCACAATAAACACAGCAACAGCTCCCTGCAAGAGTGCAAACGATTACGAGCACAAAATGAAGGAGACGTTGGTTGTGAGTCGTGAGCTGTGACCGCAGCCGCACACCCCAAACAAAGCCACCCCAACTACCCCAGCCACCCAGCAGCCCCCCAGCAAGCAGCAACAGACAAACCAAGAGCCCTACGCCTCGCCCGTGTATATATGTGCGTGCCTGCAAGTGCGTGCTTGGTCTTGCGGCTCCCTCCCGTCGGTCGTCGTCGTCTGTTGATGAGCTTGTAATAAGTTGGTATGTTTGGTTGTGTTTGGTTGTGTTTGGTTGTGTTTGTTCGACGTGTGGACACCTCACTCGCGTGCGTGTGTGTGGTGGTGGTTGCTGAGAAGAACGAACAAACAAAAAAAGGGCAAACAACACACACACGCACGACGCGCAAGTGCGCAATACCCAAGCACGCAAACGAGCGAGGCATCGGCGAGTGCAGAAGATCAATGGAAGCCATACACAATAATCACACCATGCTTCCCAACCACCCACACAAACACGCTGGATAGTGTCACGACAACACCACACACCAGCTCTCCCTCGCTCACTCTCCCTCGCTGTCTGCAGGCTGCTCGACTCTTCGTCGAACTAACAATTTGCTTGATGAAGAAGAACCGAGGTTGACCAACCTTTGACCATCAGTTGCTCAGGGACACGCCTGCACGCCGCTCCCCACACTGCTCCCCCACACTGCAGACCACAACCATGCCGGACGACTGTGTGCGTGGACGATGCAGCGGGGCTGCCTTGCACTGCCACTCCCGCCGCCATCATGTCGTCCGCCGCCTCTTTGCTGTGGTGTTTGTTCTTACCGTCCTTGCAGCTGGCTCGGTGCCGGTGCGGGGCCAAGGTGCGTGCACTGTGCAGGGCAAGAGCGCATTGTGCACGTGCTACGAGGATGGCCAAGACTTTGTCGTTGACTGCAGAAGTCATGGACTTGCTGCCGTGCCCGCACACATACCCATCAATACCACAATCCTGTAAGTGAGAGAGAGTGTGTGTGTGTGCATGTGTGTGCGTGCATGTGTGTGTGTGTGTGTGAGTGTGTGAGTGAGTGAGTGTGTGTGTGTGTGTGTGTGTGTGGGTGCTCATGTGTCCATGTGTGCCCATGTGTCCGTGTGTGCCTACGTGGACTCATGAGCGTGTCCATGTGCCCATGTGCCAATGTACCCATGCCCATGTACCCATGTGTGCTCATGTGCCCATGTGTGATATTTCACATTTCCCTCTCAACTCCCATTTCCCTTCTCCATCCTCCCACCCCTTGCTCTTCTCTCTGCAACAGGAGCTTGTCAAACAACAAGATCACGTCCTTGCCGGGGCGCGCCATGCAGAACCTCACCAACCTCCACACCCTGTGTGTTTGTTGCTCACGGCGGCGCATGCATGCAGCTCTGCAGTGATCGTGTCGGTGGTGTGATTCGGTGCTTGGGTGTTTGTAGCTGCAAGGGTTGCAGGAACTGGTGCTGTGCTGCTATGTTCCACTGCCTGTTTGTGACCACGATTTGTTCTCCCGATCATGATGTATTGTCACATAACCCCCTCCCCCCCCGTTCTGTCTGCCCACCACCTCCAACGCTTGCCACCCTCACAGCTATTTGGATGACAACGGGCTTGAGACGGTGGATGCCGGCGCATTTGCTGGCTTGCACAACCTTGCCATCCTGTACGTTTGATGTCTCGTCTGAAATCGTTATTGCGCGCGAGTCTGTGGGCAGGTGTGGTGTGTGTGCGCACGTGTGTATGTGTGTGGTTGTGTGTGTGTGTGTGTGTCTGTCTGTCTGTGTGTGACTGTGTGTGCACATGTTTGTGTGTGTGTGTGTGTGTGTCTGTGTGTGTGTTTGTGTGTGCACGTGTGTGTGCACTTGTGTGTGCACGTGTGTGTCTGTGTGTGTGTTTGTGTGTGCACGTGTGTTTGCTTGTGTGTGCACGTGCAGACAACACTGGTCATACGACTCCCGCAGTTGCGCTTTTCCCTTCTCTCGTGCGCTCTCTTATCGACGCTCCCGCATTCTGATTCCCTCAAACCTGACATGACCACCTGCTACATGCGTGCGGGTGCGCCTTCAGCTCCATTGTGGACAACGCCCTGAGCAAGCTGCCGTTCTTGGCTGAGCTGCTGCCCCTCCGCACTCTGTCAGTCGTCCTCGTGTATCTTCGAGCACATTCAATTCAGTACACACGCGTGTGTGTGCATGCGTGCATGTATCTGTGCACGTACACCCTCTCTGCACATGTACGTATAGACGTATCTGGTCCCGAGCGCTCACACATCTCTGTGTGTGTACAAAACGCTGCTTGTGTGGCTGTGTATGCATTGTTGTTCATCGGGCATGGCTGACAGTGATCTTGAGCACAACCGCCTCACCTTTGTTGACATGGGCCAGTTCACCGACATGTTCACCCTGGCCACCCTGTACGTTAGCAAGGACGACGCTGTGCTTGAATCTCTGTCGCTCTGTGTGACTGCATGGGCTTGAATCGGGCACGCACACACAACCACTTACACACCTACACATACATGTACGCACACATGTGCACACACACACACACACACGCACGCACACACACGCACACACACGCACACGCACACAACGTAGAAAGCTACAAGCGTAGACACGCACACACACACACACATGCACGCACGCACGCACACACACACACATACACAAACATTCAACTTACTGCGTGTGCACATGCGCACTGCTCCACTGCTTCTGCATTCTCTCGTACAGCAACCTCGGGCACAACCGCATCACAGGCCTGGACGATATGGCGTTCGACCACGCCAACCTCCGTGCCCTGTATGATCACTGCTTTGCATCGTGCCGTGTATGTTGCTGTGTATATTGTGTGTGCGTGCGTGCGTGTATGTGCGAACGTATATGGGTGCAATCTGCGTGTGTGCACGACGTGTGTGGTATTCGCTTTGTGTCTGTGCATGCGTGTAGCGTGTGTCGATGCTTCTGCGTTCGTAGAACAAATGCACACTCACATGCATACATCCGAATTCCTGTGTATGCTCGCGTGCAATGCTTGCTCTCATTGTCACCACCACCACGACCACCATTCACCAACACCGCCAACACCAGTGACTTGTCCCACAACGACCTGTCGTTCATTGCCCCGCTTGCATTTTCGGATGCACCACATCTCAGCGAATTGTGCGTTTGTGCGTTTGTGCGTGTGCGTGTGCACGTGCGTGTGCGTGTGCACGTGCGTGTGCGTGTGCGTTGTGCTGTCTGCTATTGTGTACTGTTGTAAGCTGTTGTGTGTGCTGCGTAATGGATGTTGTGCGTTTCCTCGCGTGACACACACACGCACACATTTGTACGCACATTTGTACACACACGCACATGCACACACGCACACACACGCACACACACTTGCACACACACACGCATGTACACACATGCACGTACACACACACGCACGCATGCACGCACATACCCTCCCACTCACTCTTTGACTCACTTACTCGTTTGCATGCATGCATGCAGGGACCTGAGCTCCAATCGCATTTCAGTGCTGGCCCCAAGCGTGCTTGATGCCTTGCATAACCTCACACACCTGTGCGTTTCTTTCTTGCCTTTGTGCTTGTATTTCGTGCACACTCGATGCGTGCCTGTGTGCGTGTGTGTACACATTTATATTTACGTGGCGACCCCTTGTCATCTGTGCATCACGTGAGCACGCGTCACCTCACTAGCGTGTGTGTCTGCAACCCTTGGTGTGGCTCGCAGTGACCTGTCTGCCAACGATTTGACGGAGCTGCCACCGACACTGTTTGATACCCAAACGCGACTCGCCTCCCTGTGCGTACACCAATGTCTGTCTGTCTGTCTGTCTGTGTGTGTGTGCGTGCGTGCGTGTGCGTGTGCGTGTGTGTATGTGTGCGTGTGTGCGTGTGTCTGTTCAATTACGCTTGTTACTTTCTGTGTTGTGTGCCTTTGCGTGTGTGCCTTCGGTGACACTTGCTTGCTCGTGTATGCTGACGCACCTGCACCTGCGTGACGCCTGCGCCTGCGTGACAAATGACAGGAGACTGGCCGACAACCGGCTGGCATCGTTTTCCATTGACGTCATCGGCAACAATCCACTCAGCATCCTGTACGCGCACATGAAGACGACAAGAACGAAACCACCTCTCACTGAACACACACACACATACACACACGCACACGCACACACACACACACACATGGCACACGTGCGTGCACACCCCCTATACACCGACAATACACATCCACATCCACGTCCACAAACGCACCCTTGCACCAAGTTTTCTTGCTCATCCTATCTGCGTTCATATCATGGCCACCACACACACACACACACACACACACACACACACACACACACACACACACACACACACACACACACACACACAGGCGACTGAACAACAACACGCTGGAGACGCTGGCGTACAACAACGACACGCGCTGGGCCAACCTCACACAACTGTACGTTGCACCTCGACAGTTTTCGTGCCTGGATCACTCCGCCATTGCGAAGTTGTCTTGCTTTGCCAGCCACTCACATACTCGCACGCATGTGGACACGATGATGGCTGGCTGCTTGCAACGCTGCAGGTACTTGCGCGACAACCCGTGGTACTGCTGCGGCATGGAGTGGTTCCGGGACGCTGTTTCCATTGTGCAAGACCTCCCCTTTGTCGCATGCGCCGCCCCGCAAAGGGTGGCTGGTCACCTCATCGCAGACACAACAGGGCCAATCACCATCTGCACCCGAGGTGTGGTATGCCTGCCCATATGAGAGACAGTACACACACATTGCACAAACACATGATGCGTGTACTATTGTCTGTGCCCGCACACGCCTTTACTCATGGGCTTTGTCCTTGCGAGCACCAGCATCACCCATCTCTTCACAGATACGCGCATTGACACGTGCATTGACACGTGCACACATTGACACGTGCACACATTGACACGTACACACATTGACACGTACACACACTACACACTACACACACACACACACACACACACACACACTTACACACATGCACACACACACACACACACACACACACACACACACACACACACTTACACACACACATGCACACACACATGCACACATATACATGCCCCGACGTGCAGTTGATCCTGATGCGCCATCCACACTCAACGTGACATCGGCAGCACCGACGAGTGCCACCGCTGCGTGGCCGCGGCCCCACGGCAACTTTGCTCCCATCGACTACTACACGCTCGATGTTCGCCTGCACAACACCACGGACGCGTGGCTTCCCGTCACCTGCACCAATACCTCGTTCCCTCCTGGCGACACGCGCGCACCGCTCCCGCACAACCAGTGGTGAGCGTGTGACGAAAGGCTCAGTGTGTGTGTGTGTGTGTGTGTGTGTGTGTGTTGTGTGTGTTGTGTGTATGTGTGTGTTGTGTGTATGTGTGTGTGTGTGTATGTGTGTGTGTGCGTTTGCGCGTGCTTGCGTCTGCGTCTGTGCGTGCTTGCGTCTGCGTCTTTGCGTGCGTTGTGTGTATGTGCGAGTATATATATATATATATATATATATATATATATATGTGTGTGTGTGTGTGTGTGTGTGTCAGCACGACCATATCCCATTCGAATCTCAACGTTCATGTGTGCACTTCCCGTGTGCGTCGTTTCTGCTGTGCACGTCCACACCAAACATGATCCATGCACAGCGTGCACCTCCTCCATCTTTGCTCTCTCTCTCACTCTCTCCTATTGGCCTCACACGCCTCCCTTCCCCCAAAATCACGCCCGCGCACGCCACGCCTCCCCCCCCCATGTGCAGTCGCTATCTTGATCACGAGCCCGCGAGTATGGACGAGCTGGCAACACCGCTGCACGCCACAATCACGGGCCTGCTTCCGTTCACCGCCTACGACGTGCGTGTGCGCGCTGTGCACGGTCGCGGGGTGAGCGGGTTTACAACAGCAGGTGTTGTGACTGCGGAGGATGTGCCGAGCAGACCCGCCGCTCCGCTGGTGCTGGAGGTGCGGCAGCGCGCCGTGCGGGTGAACATCAGCGCCCCGACCCCCGCCAACGGCCGCATCGTGGCGTACGATGTTCGCATCGTGGAGACGCGCATGGAAACCCCTGGTCGCCGGCCCCTCAACCGCGTCATCACACTCACCACCAATGGCACCAACACCAACACCAACACCAACAACAACAACAACAACATCAACACCACCAGCAACACCAACGCCAACGCCAGGGAATACACGATCAGTGACCTTCGCCCGGCCACGCCGTACAACGTGAGCGTGCGCGGTGTGACGAGTGCAGGGGCCGGGCCGTTCAGTGCACCTGCGCTGGTGACGACGCTGCCGGCTGCACCGGCGACAGCGCCAAGTGTGGTGCATGTGCGCGTGAACGCGACGGCGTGCCTCTTTGAGTGGCTGCCGCTCGCCAGGAACGACACGTACGGCCAGGCGCCAGTGTACACGGTGTACGCTGTCGTGGTGGAAGGGGTGCAGCTGGCAACACCGCAGGTGCTCGCCACCATCAACACAACAACCACCAACACCAACACATTCAAGCCGAACACCACCGCCACCAACACCACCAACACTGCCGACAACGTGTATGTGTGGACGATGCTGGAGACCAACAGCACGTATGCGGTGGTGCTTTCAGCCAACACAACCGCCGGCGAAGGCCCGCTGTCTTTGCCGTACACGTGCGTGCCCAACCCCACACCCCCGCCACGCCCACTGCCACCGACCATTGATGTGCTGTGCGCGGACCGCGTGCGCGTGTCGTGGCAGCCGCCGGCTGAGCGGAGTGTTGACGTTGTTGACCGCTACGAGCTGTATCGCGGCGACACTGGGGCGCGTGTGTACGCGGGTGCAGAGACGAGTGCTGTTGTGGCGGACCTTGTGCCGGGCGCAGCTGTCTCCTTCTTTGTCATTGCCCACGCAGCGCTGCCAAGCGAACCAAGCGTGCCAGCCAACGTGACCATGCCCAGTGGAGGTGCGCATGTATGCTGTGTGTGTGTGTGTGTTGTATGTGCTGTATGTGTGCTGTATGTGTGCTGTGTGTGTGTGTGTGTGTGTGTGTGTGTGCTGTGTATGCTGTGTGCACTTGTGCTTTCGTGTGCTATGCATGGTATGTTCATGCGCATGTTGTGCGTGTGTGTGCATATGTGGCGACAGTACATTTATGTCATGTACATGTTGTCGATTGCTTGCTCTTTGCCACTTGTCTCGCATGACTGCTCATGGCCCTTCGCGCACAACACGAACGGCAGTCCCCGATGCAGTGGATGGTGTGATGGCGCTGAACGCAACAGCGTACACGCTCAATGTGACCTGGACGCCTGCGTCATCGTGTGCGGCGCCAGTGCAATCTTACCTCGTCTTCCGCACCAGCGTGCTACAGCACATTCCCTACTACCCGACCATACAGGTGTGCACATGCTGCGTTGTTGTTGGTGTGTGTGTGTGTTGGTGTGTTGATGTACGCGTTGTTGTGTTGGTGTTGGTGTGGTGTGTTGGTGTTGTGCACTTGTGTTATGCATTGGCGTTTGTGTTGGTGTTCCTGGCTTGCACACAAACACATACACACACGCGCTCTCATACGTGCTCGCATGCAAACACACACACACACACACCTTGCTCAGGACAACACGACACTTCTGGTGGGAATCGTGCCTGGGAATGTGACGGGACTGGTATTGAGTGGTCTTCGCCCCGCCACCACATATTCGCTGGTTGTGCGCGCGTTCAACAAGTACGGCGGATCAGACACACGCCTGCCCGTCAACCTCACGACCGCAGATGCACGTACGTACCTGCTGCACAACTGCGTGTGCGTGTGCGTGTGCGTGTGCGTGTGCGTGTGGGAGGACGGGTGGTGCGTGTTTGTGTTGTTGGGGTGTGGTTGCTGTGCATTGTGCCTTGTGATTTGTTTGTGGGCTGTGGCTGTGGCTGTGACTGTGACTGGGATGTACTCACATGCACACACACACACACACACACACACACACACACACACACACACACACACAAAACACACACACACACACACACACACACACACACACACAAAACACACGCACAATCACCACAGCGCCATCATTTCCCGGGACACCCTCGGTCGAGGTGTGCACCAACCACTATCGCGATGCTGCCAACGGCACGTGGGTGGCGCGCGAGGAGCAAGTGGTGCGGTGGACCCAGCCTGTAACGCCAAACGGAAACATCACCCGGTACGAGCTGTGGCATATCAACAAGGACAACGACGGCGGCACCTTGCTCTACGCCGGCCACCCAGGACACACCTTGCAAGTCACCGTTCCCGCTCGACCCCAACTGGTGTGCTGCTCTGCACATGTCAGCAACCCGTGCAGTGAAACAGAACTGGGGAGACGTGAAGGTTACAAGGCTGTGCTGTTCAGAGGTCGCGCTGCACATATAGACCCGACACACACACATACACACACAACACACAAACACACACATACACATTTACACACACACTCACACACACACACACAAATACACACATACACACACAACACATTTACACACACACACACACATACACACACACACACACACACACACACACACACACACACACACACACACATTAGGACCCATCGACGCTGGTAGTCATCGCGTTCAACGCAATGGGTGCCAGTCCCTCACTCATGTATCCGGCAGCTGCGACCTCTGAAACATCGTCGCCGCCCTATCACCGTGCGTCATGTCATGTATCACCATCGCTTTGACGTTTCGTGCCATACCGTTGCTTGTTGGTGTGCAGGCAGAACGCTCGTTCTAACGAAGATTCTCAATAATGCACGCTGGCGATGTTGTGGTGATTCATTCCCCCATTCATGCTACCAGGTACCACTGCGGCCCTGTCTGGCGTGCTGGGAGGTGCGGTTGCCGTGGGCGTCGTTGTGTATGGGCATTGGAAAGTGACCAAAACAAGTGGCCGCATGTCACCAGCACCTTCAAACAGCGGTGAGATGACACATGGTGTGGCGTGAGGGAGAGGAGCAGCACGACGCGGTGACCGGGCTCTGAATGCAGATGCAATCCTTTTCCACCTTCCGACTGTCGCTTACATTGCTCGTGTACCACATTTGTGTGTCCCTGTGAATACATTCTATCAACTTGGCTTCCATTACAGAGGAAACAGAGGCGGATGCTGCTCCTTCTTTAAACGACCGCACCACGTCTGCTGACTCCGGTGTGGACAGCCAGCGGACCCTTGCAGGAGGAAGGACGACGATACAAGAATGTCCACGCTGACTGTGGACTGGAGTGATGAAGCAGGATATGAATGACATGAGTTCTTGTGTTCATTAGGTAGTGCAGCTTTGTCGGTTGACTTTGTATCACGTATTTGACATTGTAATGGGGTTGGAATGAACATAAATGCTTATGACTTCTCTTGTGTTGTGCACGCACTTTTATTCGGGTTGTGTGCTGATCTTCAAAGCAAGGGATCTCCAAGAGGTGGGGCACGTTTCTGAAGTGGTGGTTGCACAAGATGTTGTGGATGCCATCCTACATGACATGAGGAGCAAGGGCACAACATTGTAGGAATTGAGCCATAAACGATGCGGTTCACATAGAAACAGGGGATGAGTTGAGTACACAAACGATGTTCTGGTCAGCCTCGGCCATGCCTTGTGGTTTGCTTGTGTTCCTGCGCAAGCCGTTCATCTGTTCATGTGTTGTTCTGTTGTAACTCTTTGCTCGTCAGCACTCGACCCACGTGCTTGCCAACTCGTCGAGTTCCCTTGTGACGTGTGATTCTGTTCATCAAGCCCCCACCTCAGTACACAAACGCACATACACACACACATCGTGATTCTACGTGGACTTCATTAGGATGGAAACAGAAGCGCAATGTTGGGTAGCAGAGCGTGACATCGCATGCCCACATCTTGTTGGTGTGAACGGGAAGAAAGAAAGGGAGGGACACTTGGATGGGTGTTCGTGTAACGTCAAGGAACGAAGAAGATGCAAAAAGAGGGAAAGCAGAACGAAGCAGACACAGGCACAGGCACAGGCACGGGCAGTAATACACAGGCCCACTACACGCTGTCGGTGCAAGAGTGCGTGAAGGTGCGGCGGCGTTCAGAAGTAGGCATCGTGGTGACGAGCGACTCGACGGAGAAGCTCGCTGTGGGACGCAAAGAGGCCCAGCTGCTCCAAGACGGGCAGCCATGCCACGTTTAGCAGATTTTCATCACTGCGCTTGAATTCCAGCTTGGACGAGAGGTGGCCCGTCGCGTCGTGGAAGTTGATGCAGGTGGTCTCGACCCATGCGTTATCCGTGTTGCGTTCGTCCTCGCTGTAGATGCGCGCCACAGGCACGCCACCAGAGAGCAGCTGCTGCACCGCGTGGCGCTCGTCATCTGTCAGCTCCGTCGTGGCCTTGTCCATGGTCTCTTCCAGAAACTTGCGGCCCAGTGTCTCGATCACCTCCTCTCCATTGTCCACGAAGCCGCCAGGGATGGCCCACATGCCATTGTCTGGGCGGCGGATGGCAAGGAACTCCAGCACGCGCTTGCCGTCGCGCTCCATGATGCTGCCGTCGCAAGCGCGCCGCCACCGCGTCACCACCGTGTCCCCGGCCTGGTTCACGCCCCACTTGCCAAGCAGGCCGCGCCCGGTCATGCCCGTGCGTCCGCGTGGGTGTCTGGGTCGGCCCGTCAGCCGGTCAACCTCGTACTCCCCTCCACACGAGGTGCGGTCCACGCCGTTCATCTTCTCGTTGAAGCCAATCCCCTTCGGATCCGTTGGGTCTGCCCAATTAGGGTTCAGCAGCACGGACGAATGCGTGTACTCGACTGGCGAATAATCGGGGAAGACATGAATCCATGGCACGCAATCGAGGTCGACGGAGCAGCGTGTCACATCATCATCAGCAACCGGGTATTTGCGACTGGGAATAAACACAGGAGGCGGCGGCCCGAAGCGCTTGTTCTGTTGCCACAGGGGACACAACCGACAACGAGCAGAAGGACGGCAAGATGGTGAGAGATCGTGGACAAGTATGCAAGAGCTATGTTGTGACACACAGGTACGTTTGCCGGTGTATATAGATGCGCTTGTGGTACATCGTCAATGAATGTACGCTGTGCGTTGTATTGTGTGTGAGTGCGTTTGCGTGTGTGTTTGAGTGAGTGCGTTTGCGTTTGCGTTTGTGCGTTTGCGTTTGTGCGTTTGTGCGTTTGTGCGTTTGTGCGTGTGTGTATGTGTGTATGTGTGTGTGTGCGTGTGTCTGTGTGTCGTTGTGTGCGTTCTGTGTGTGGGTATGGGCGTGAGTGTATGTATTGCGCTTATGTGCATTTGTGTGAACGTGTGTGCGCAAGTGTGCGTGTGCGCGCAAGTGTGCGTTGCATGTGATGAAAAGAACAAGCAACGTGCCGTCGAAACGTACAGTGGACGGGGTGTCTTGAAGGGAGGAAACGCTGTTCGAGCGTGACAAGCCCAAATCAGGCTCGTTGTGGTTGGGGCCGGTGGCATTTCGCAGGTGTGTCATATGTCGCTCGTGCACCGCCTGAAACGCCGCCAAGCGGTCCAGGATCGCGTGGATGCCGTCCTGCACGCCGGCAACACGCCGGTTCGTGTCCAGAACGCATGTCTGGATCGCCTCTCGGGCCTGCTTGTCGGTCTGTTCCACATGCCGCTCCGCACACGTGGCCTCAAATTCGTTGCGTTTGGGCTGCACAACGACAGTGGTTTCTGTGGGGCCACAGCAAGAGGTGCATTTGTGCACGTGCTTTCCGGCCCACAGAGCAAGGCGCACCACATAGGCGATCAGACTCAGCGGGGCCGGCAGCAGCGGCTTGTGCCGGTACTCGTCCAGCAGTTCTGCAACCGCGAGGTCATACAAACGGGCAGAGAATGGGAGGACGTGAGTAGGGCACAGAAGGCGTGCATGGAGTTCACCTTTTGTGCAATGAGACAAAACCCGACATGGTGCACCGTGCACAGTCACGCACAGCATCCAACAGACGAAGGGCGACCAACCGTAGTTCTGTTTGCGCCACAGCGTCTCCGCCTCTTCCTTCACTCTGGCGTACGTGTCATTGAACATGGCTGCACAACGGCAAAGAAGAAAGCAAGTTGGTGAGCGTGCGGTATGCGCGCACGCGTTTGGAGGGGTGTGTGAGGCATTGTAGTCGGGTGTGAGTCAAGTGAGCGTGCGTGTTTGTACATTACGTGAGGGCGTGCGCGCGTGTGTGCACATGTACACTACATGCACGTGTGTGGTGAAGACTGCAAGTGTATTGAACTGCACAGGTGAGTTGCGGTCCAGGTCAGGATGTACGTTGGCGACGCAGTGACAGACATGATGTGCATATCTCTCACCAATGAGCAAATTGATGAGAAGGATGTTGGCGATGAGCATGTACACGGCGAAGAACACAGGAAGGAGGCGCACTTCCTGTTGGGGTTGAAGGAGATGATCGTGTGTTAGGCGACAGGGGAGCGGATGGGCAGCTAGGCAGGTGTATCAGCATGGAGGGAGGGGGCTGACAAACGCCCAGAGTGAGCACAATACAAGCAAGAAGGCAAATTGCAATACACGCCGACGACAAGCACGACACACATGCACACACACACATACGCACACTCACGTACGAACACAAAAGCACACACACACACCGCACACATACACAAATACACACACCACACATACGCATATACACACAAAAGCACAGACACACACAGGCACGCACACACACACATACATACAAAAGCACACAAAAAAGCACACACACCTCACGGGGACACTGAGAAAATGCCAAATCGCCCATACAGCCCGAGTCTGCTTGCAGGCCTTCCAGATCAAGCTCGCCATACATTTGAAAGTATGGGCGATACAGCACGTTGATAACCTTCTCTGCAGAAAAGGGGACCGCAGGAAACAGCAGTGCCTGTGCTGCCACGCCGTATGCTGACAACGAACAGCGTACATGTGCAATGCCGCGCAACATAATTTGACGTGTTGTGAGAAGCCATACCGAAACTACGCCTGAAGCGAAGAGAGGGACAGCACTCGGCAGTTGGCAACACGTTAGGGACATGCCACGCTCCCTTCAGATCGTAGTGTCCAGAACACACGCACGGTATGCAGTGATGACCAACCCAGAATGAACACGACGAGGAAACAGACAAACGCGAGGATGTCCTTCGTCATCTCTGCAATCATGATGAGTTTCGGGCCCAGCGTGGCGCTGACGGCATAGTAGCGCATGAGGCGCACCCAAAGGGCAACCGCCACAAACGTGTGGATACCACGGCTTGCAAGCTGTTGTCAGAGAAAAAAGGAACAAGCATCCGACATATCAGAATGAGTGTGAGTGTGTGAGTGTGAGAGAAAGTGTGTGTGCGTGAGATTGTGCGGGTGTGAGAGAAAGTGTGTGAGTGTGTTTGTATGTTAAAGTGTGTGTGTGTGTGTATGCATGTGAAATGTGAGTGACGGTGAAAGAGTAGAATAACAAACAGGTTGTGTGTGCGCTGCGCACCAGCGAGCACAAAACCGACAGCATTGGCACAGTCCCCACGAGGCAGGGAATTTGCCAATGGTGTCAAATATCTAGACACAGCACTCAGACGACCTGCCATATCCACACACACACACACACACACACACACACACACACACACACACACACACACACAAGAGCTTGCATTAATAGCCAACAGATGCTCACTTGTAGGGAGATGTCATCGAGGTTAACGACACGAACAACGAGCCCGGAGATGTACAGGCCAAGCAAGGTCAAGTCCAGCTGGTTCCAGAGGATGGAAACATAGTTGCGTATCCCATAGTCGTACATCTAAACACAAGAGTGTGAAGAATATATTGGAGATGCGTGATTCTCGTGAACTCTTCAGCGCGCGCGCACAACACACACACACACACACAACGCAACAAACACAAACACACACAACACAACAAACACAAACACACATAACGCAACAAACACAAACACACACAACACAACAAACACAAACACACACACAACACAACACAACAAGCACAAGCACACACACATACACACAGAGACATGAACGAGCAAACCAAACAACATGTCTGTGGCTTTCGTGTAAACAAACATGTGGCGCGCTTACCTGACGAATCTCCTCGCACACGAATGCAAGGAACCAGGCTATCAGCACGCCATCAACAGCGGTGATGCTCGTGGCAATCTCGTCCATCACATAGAAGGAGAAGAGCAGGCACAGCGCAATGTGCGACAGCGCATCAGAGACAAAACTGCGGCGCAACAGCAAACAGCAGGGGTCAGTCGTGAATGAGTTGTGCGGAAGTCATGAACACTGCATGAAGCACAGCTGAGGCTCGCGTTAACGAGTGACATCTGCCGGTTGCCAGACAAACGACACACAGGCGAAGCCATTACACACCAGAACATTACATGTAGCAGCATGCGACATGAACGGCAATGGATATCGTGAGGGCACCTGGTAGATGGGGCCATGTAGAAGCGGTACACGAAGCTGCCCAGGGAAATGGGTCGTTTCACCGCCTTCTTGGCAGTATCGGCCACGCGCGCGCCTTCGCGCATAAACTTGTCGAAGCGGCTGTCATTGAGAATTCCGTCTTTGTCATCAGTCCTCTCTGCCCCCTTTTCCTAATACGTGAGCAAAGCACAAGGATGAGCGACTGCGCGTGTGTGTGCATATGCATGTGTGTATGTGTGCGTATTTGTATATGTGCGTTTGTGTATGCGTGCGTATGTGTGCGTTTGTGTATATGTGCGTATGTGTGCGCGCGTATGTGTATGTGTGTGTTTATCGCTCCCCTGTCTGTCACATACACACGCAGACACACACACAGACACACACACGCAGAGACACACATACACACACACACACACACACACACACACGATCTCTCTTCAACAAAAGTTGTACCTGAATGTCAGCGGGTGGTTGGAAAATGTAGAGGTACAGTGGCACACTGCACGGCACGAGCAGCCCCAACGCCACCTGAGAGGAACGCGATCGCGGCATACAACAGCGCGCGGGGCATTAGATGAGGGAACACAGTGTTGCAAGAGAAGCATGCTCAGGACCGTGCACGTTGCAAATGATACACGGTGCAAATGATAAACGTTGCAAATCAAGCGTGCAGACAGCCTCACTCGAACACGCACCGCAAAGAAAGGAAGACTCTTGCCGATGTTGCCCGTCCATTCGCGCTGAAGAAGCTTTTGGGTTGCCGGGTGCGCCAGGAAGCGAAGCGAGCTGACCACGTATGCCACCTGACATGAAACCCGCAAACAAAGCCGTCACAACCACATGAACGCATGCACCCAAGAGAAGACTGGCAGTTGGCCATGTAACAGCAACAGCAGTAGCAGCAACAACAAAGACCCAGCATGTGTTTGAGGTACAAAGTACATACTGAGGAGCAAAACGCACGTGTACGGGGCTGGTGCCTTCATCGTCGTCTGGTTTCAGAATCTTCTCAGTCTTGTCCGTGTCGTCGTTAAAGCCCTGGTCCAGCACTCCAACAGCAAGGTCCTCAAAGCGCCTGGTGTGGAACGTGAGGGAGTGAGTGCGTGAGTGAGTGCGTGAGTGCGTGAGTGAGCGTGAGTGAGCGTGCGTGTGTGTGTGTGCATGTGTGCGTTTCAACATACACACATGCACGCACACACACGCACACGCACCCACAAACACACATATACACAAACACACAAGCACATGCATGCACACACGCACACGCACACACACACACACACAAACACACAAACACACACATACACACAAACACACAAATACACACATACACAAACACACACACACACACACACACACACACACACACGCACACACACACTCAGACACACACCTCGAGTCGGCGGTCATGATCTTGCGTTCCTCTGCCAAGTACGTGCCGGAAAGAGCAGCATGTGCGCTCATGGCAGCGAGGATGCGGCTGGCGACCAACGCCTTCATGACGGGCCGGTCAATGCGCAGCCAAAGCGTGCGGGCAAGGTCAAACCGGTCCAGACAGACGGCCCACAGCTGCAATGGTAGGGATAGGCAAGGGAGAGGGAGTGTGTTCGTGTGCGAGTGAGGTGGTGAGCATGTGGGCAGGTAAATAGGTGAATGGTTGAGTCACTGAGTGTGCGAGTCACTGAGTGCGTGAGTCACTGAGTGCGTGAGCGGGCAAACCACTCAACCACGCAGTGTAGCCAGAGTAAGGTCGCCTTGGCGAGTCCCAGGGTGCAAAACCAAGTGTTGTTGCACAGCCTAGCTCATCCCATCTTTTTCCTCACGTACAAATAGCAGGTTGAGTGCAAGCTTCTCCCTGACAGCCTCCTCGTGAATGATGCCCCTGTGTTCATCGGACATGCATAGCGAGTGTCTTGCGTGAATGCAGCGCAATGAACTGGTGGTGGTCAAATTGATACGGTTATCATGAAGCGCGCAACGGAATCAATGCAGGAGGAATGCAAGAAGAACACGCACAGCAAGAGAGACAATCATATCAAGCAAATAAACAAACACGAAAAAGTTCGAGCTCCCACACGCACACTTACGCACTCACACGCACTCATACAGACACGTACTTGATGGCGAGATGTGAAGTCACTTCGGCCTTGAGATCCTCATCACTGTAGCCAACGAGGGACCACAAGATTTCGCTCATGCGAGCAACATTGTACTCGCCGTCGTTTGAGCGCTCTTCAGCATCGTCAACGAGTCCAAGAATGCTCAGGCAGGACAGTGCCCGGCCGCGCGTGTTTGTGTACGACAGTTGCACCAGCCGCACCAAGTGCGTTTCCGAGTTGTGCTCGGCTTCTTCCTGCAACCCACCGCAAGCAGCAATGCAAGCAAGTAACGCATGCCGTGTGTTGCAGATGAGTGAGCGTGTTAAATAAAGAAATAAGTGGCTTGGATCAGGGGGCTCAATCACTGTGTGGGTGCTAGGGTGCTGTCAGCCGTGTACCCGCGCGCACGCGTGCTCAACAGCATCTGTGTTGTGCGTATGTTCAGACGCCAAGCTTGTACGCACCTCGTAAAGTTCTTCAATGGCCTTGAGGAAGCCAGCCACTGGCGATTTCTTGGGGTTTACCTGCAGCCCCATCGGGGAGGGAGAAAGCGAGTGTTTGGTGATGACACCGTCGCATGTGAACCGCTTATGATGCGTGTGAAGTGCGCACACACAAATGCATTGACGCACACCTCCTCGCACAGATACATACACTGACTCCTACCTCCGCGCACATATGTGCACTGACACACACTGACACACACTGACACACACACACACACACACACACACACACTCACTCATTCACTCACACACACTCTCTCACACACACACACTTTCACACACACATGTGTAATTTACATTTGTGACAGATGCGCCGGCATTGAGGAGGAGCTTGGCAAATTCGGGCTTGTTGCTCGACAGCGCTGTTCTGAGCAGTTCCGAGAGCACTTTTGTTTCCTCTTCCTGCAAGCACGCACAGACACCACACCATCAGTTCATGCTTGAGCTCAACAGCAGTCACTGCCACGACAAACACGCAAGAGCGGAGCACGTCTGCGTTTGACTCACGGTGACGTGCTGCTCGTTAAGGCGACGCGTCACGACGTCCATTCGGTCAAACAGCATAGCTGTCGTTGGAAGTGCAAGTAAGTCAAGTTCAAGAGTTGGCAGTGTGTTAACTTGAGAGCAACTGGAACTGCCGACCAAGCAAGTAAGGCAGCAAAACTCAAGCGTGTTTAGAACAATGAGAACACTGTGCAATGATCAGATCACATCACCTGTGGTAAGCGTTGTTTTGAGACTGGGATTTGTGGAAATGATGGCCTGACACGTGCGGTACGACAATGTGTGTTTGTGTGTGTGAGCGTGTTTGTGTGCGAGTGAGCGTGTTTGTGTGCGAGTACGTGAGTGAGTGAGTGAGTGAGTGCGTGTGTGAGTGAGTGAGTGAGTGAGTGAGTGAAGCGAAAGAGTGCGCGGGAAAGTAATGAAGACGGAAAGGGAAAGGGAGCCAGTCGACGTGACAGAGTGTGCGCATGAGTGAGAGTATGTCACAAGGTGTGGGTGAAGTGAGTTGGTGTCAGTCTCGAGGTAGAGCTATGAAGCTGCACATCAACAACAAGGCGGGAATGTGGTGCCATTGTTCACGTACACTTAACTCCATTGTCTTCGCAGTTCCCTCCCTCTCCCACTCGCGCACAGTCATCCCGCCTATCCATGAACGCCACGACAAACCTCGAAGATCTGGTTCTCAAACTCCTCTGGGCCGCCTTGGTGCAGATCAAACACAAACACCTGCAACAGGTTCACAGGAGGCATCACAGCCAAGAGAGTTGAATGAGCAGGTGCAAGTCGCGACAGCATTGCTTGCTGGCTCGCTTGGGTAGCTGCTGGCTTGGGAGTGTAAACACCTGCATGCAAGCATGCAGGCGAAGCAATGCGAAGGACAAGATCACGCACAGCTTTGCGGTCAAGCACGCAGTCGAAGACGCGCTGGAGTATCTTGTTCAGGTCCGCTTGAGTTTTTGGCTTGAACGCCTTCTTCACAAGACCCACCAATGCCTTGCCGCTGAGAGAGGAGTGCTCAGAGCTGCACGCGGGAGAAAGGAGCACAGCCCCAGGATAAAACGTGAGCGCAGGAAAATGAAAGGGCGTACAGCAGACAGAGCACTTCTATACAACACGTGCAACAAAAGCAGGGTGCATTGCAAAACTCCGTCATCACCCTTCGCCGTGGAAGAGGTAGTAGGCGTATGCGATCACGTCTGCGGCTCCCCCAGAATGATTCACAACAACAAGCGGCGTGCGTTCCTTGACTGCGGGTGTATCGTCACGTCACGCCACGCACGATGATAAGCTGAGGCGTTGGGCATTCAACAAGGGCAAGGGGAGAGGGGAGAAGGAAGAGGTGTATTGCAAGCTCTCGCGTCAGGGGCACACCAGCGCGTTCCTCACCGGCGTTGAATGCGGTGTCCAGCGTGCCGACGCCCCCTTGAATCACGATGGATATTATGGATGCCTGACACTTGTCGAAGATGGCCTGCAACCACACATGAGGAGGGTAAGAGTGTGATTGACTCATCAAGTTGAGGGCATTGCATTACATTGCCATGAATCCGGAACACCCAGGAGATCGACGACAAAGCACGTGTCTACGTGTGCAAGCCCAGATGTGCAGGTATGATTCTGACGCGGTACCTTTTCCAACTTGGCGCGGAAGGGGATTTCAACACCAAACTTGCCGCGCGAGCCATCGTCAACGAGGAGGAAGCAAGTGTGATTCGGATCCAAGTTGACACCCTTTGACTTTCCAGCAAGGTCGTGGTTGACAGTAGCGCCCTGTGTGCAAAACGAACCAGTCCATGCGAGCATGCGGGCGTGCAACAGGATAAGTACAACAAACAAGCAGATGTGAGAGGACAGTAGTGGCGGTTGGGCAAAAAGGCAAGCGGTCAGGGAATATGGCTTGCTTTGGCAGCACGCACACATGCCGATGCTTCAACAAATAGGTTAACAGAGCCATGGCCACCCACCTTCAGCAGCGCCTCTTGCTGTGCCAGCACTCCGAGTGTGGCTGCAAGAATAACAAGTCGAGGCGGACGATTGGAGACGTTAAGCCAAGGTGAGGAAAGTGAGAAGGAAAGAGATCTATGCATGCATGCACACACATTAGCACATTATGCACCTCTCCACACACACGCACACACACACACACACACACACACACACACACACACACACACGCACACACACACACAAAAAGCACACGTGTACATATACACGCACGCACGCACGCACGCACGCACCCACACCCACACACCCACACACCCACACCCACACACACACACACACACACACACACACACACACACACACACACACACACACACACACACACACACACACACACACACATACACAAAACAAAAAGCACACGTGCACATACACACGCATGTACACACGCACCGATCCCGATGGTGGGGGATGCAATGTTCTTCTGGCTCTTGTAGAGGCTGTCCATGATGGAGCCAGTGAGCCGCATTACACCTGCGTCATTTGAAGGGTTGGCAAGCAATCGGGTAAGCTCCACGCAGGCGCTCGGTCGCATAGAGCGCACACGCTCAACGTCATGCATGAGTGCACGTATGGGACGCAAATCAGCATACGAAACACGACACACAGCACAACACAACTTTGCAGCAGCTGGCTGACCTGTGTGTGTTCCACCGGTGACAACCCAAGCGTTTGTGCGGCGCACGACGTTTGAAATGCCTTTGGTCAGCGCTTCTTCCAGGTGACGCGACAGCGCGAAGGAGGTTGCACCCCCTGTAACGCTCAGAACCAGGTTTGGCTTGACGAAGCGGTGCTGAGCACCAGCATTCATCATCGCCTCAACAAACTCAAGGGCATCCGTCGGCGAATCATCCTTGGAGAGGCAGAGGAAGGGTGCCTGTTGGTGTTCACGGAAATGTGGGACCAAGTGAAGAGGAAGGACGAGGGAGAGAGGTGAACCAGCGCGCACATGTCTGTGATGGCCTTGGGAAAGGAAGAACATGAAGGGTGGTCGAACACAACACGCGGACGGATTCGCAATAGGCTGGCACATGCACATGCACACAACACAACCACAATCACAATCACTCAACACAATACACAACACAATCACACCCACCCACCCACACCCACACACACACACACACACACACACACACACACACACACACACACACACACACACACACACACACACACACACACACACACACACACACACACAACACTCAACACAACCACAATCACTCAACACAACACACAACACAACCACAATCACTCAACACAACACAACACACACAAACACACAAACTCAGAGGCACAAACAAAACAGGCAGACACCTTGTTGTCGTTTGATGAGAAATGAAGAGTGCCGTATGCTCGAGAGGTTTCTGTGATCGTCGGATCAGTTGTGTCGTGCAAGTGGAACCTGAATTGCGAGCAGGGTGCATGTGCTTGCGTGAGCGGAGAAGTTTGCGGTGCAAGCGCTGCACTAACGACAAGAAGGGCAGAATAGATATCTACTGCTGCCGGCGAGCTCACCACAAGTTAAAACGTCTCACCTGTCGAGGACAGACTCGCTCTGCTTGTGTGTCTGCCAAGGGCGAGCATGGGAGGAGCAGGTAAGCACGTTGGGCACGGGTGAGATGTGAGAGCGCGGAACGTGACAAGTGCATTAATTTCAGCAAAAGAAGGTTCACAAGAATGCTCACACAACGTGTGTCTGTGTGCGTACATGTGTGTACGCGTGTTTGTGTGTGCGCGTGTTTGTGTACGTGCGTGTGTTTGTGTACGTGCGCGTGGTTTGTGTCTGCACCTGCGTGCCTGCATGTTCTTTCCTTCTTTCCTAACACAGTGACATCAGGACATTGGCCCAATGGGGTCCTTCACGTACCATTTCAATTGGCTGCTGTCTCTCTTGACCGTCACTTGGGAAGGTTTGATGGTGTCTGATGCTCCTGGACCCTCGCTTGCCGCCAAAGCAGCTGATGATGGCAGTCACAAGGGGGAAGCAGAAAGCAGAGTGATAAGCAACACAGGGCATACAGAGGAGGTGAGGTGCTGAGGCAGGAAATGACTGGTGTTGCAGCAAACAAGCAAACAAGTGACTGAACGAGGAAAACGCAGCCATTGTCTCGTCAAAGGACCTAAGGACAAGAGGACAATGTCGGTCAGGGAAGGCTCCGTTTCATGCAAGAATACGAACCAAGCCATGGTCGACATGGTGTTGGTATCGCCGCCCAAGGCTGCTTGACGGAACCGGGTGCAGATGAAACAGAGAGCTGCAAGAAGATTGAAGTAGGAAGATGAAGACGCGGGTGTTGTGGAAGCTTGGAGGGGCGGTGGCACAGTCGGACAGAGGACGGCACCAAAATGGAAGTGTGCGGCAAAACACCAAGGGAATTGTGTCCGGAGAAAACGACTGAGTTCAGTCGCTTTGTTGCTTGCAGGCAAGTCGAGTGAACCTTGCTTCTTTTGCTTGCTTGCAGGCTTGCTTGTTGCTTGATTGACATGAAGAAAACGAGGGTGATGAGGTGACACTGCTGTGTTTGCATGTCGTCAGTGTCCAAGTGTTAGTGGCAAACTCCGTGGATATGTATGTGTGTGAGGTGACTGAACGTGAATCAACGGAAAGCAACGTGAGTGAAGAACGTGAGCTGGGATAGCGACAGTGAGTGGAGGAGGACACGAAGAACACAAGGGAATACGAGAAAAACAGGGAACGGAAGGAGCGGAAAGGAACAGGAAGGAACGGAAAGGAGTACGAGGGATCGGAGAGAAGCAAGAAGAGCGGAAGGAAACAAGGTGAACGGAAGAACACACGAGGGACGGGAGTGTTGGCCGTAACCGCGATCCAACAGAATCGTGCCAAACGTGGCACCAAGTAAAAGCAACACGAGGGTGGAAAGCGCATCCGCACACGGCACGACACGCAGAAAAAGACCAACAAACAAGCAAACGAACGCGCACACGAACGGCTGAACGGAAGAGAAGCAGGGTCCTTAGGTCACCAACAAAAGAGAGAACGCATGGGCAGATCAGCACCCGGGGTCGATGACGAGCACTGCATCTGCCGTGTATGGAATGCCATAGACAAGGCCATTGTCAGCGAGCACGCCATCGAACCACTCGGAAGATCCGCCAAAGTTGGTGCTGGTTGTTGTGTCGGTTGCGTTGGTGGCTGGATCGAGGACAAGGACTGATGGTGAGCCGTGTGGGATGCCGATAATGTTGGCGTTGGGTGCCAGCACACCGCCGACCCACTTTCCTGAACCCGCGGAATCGGGCACGGCGAGGGTTTCTGCAGTGTTGGTGGTCGGGTTGATGACGAGTGTGGTCGTGGAACTGTATGGGATGGTGTAGATGAGCCCATTTTGCGCAAGCACGCCCCCATACATACCACTTGGCGCTTGCACTGAAGCCACTGATGGTTGTGAGGTCCATTGTGAAGGACTCTGGATTGATGATGAGGACGGAAGATGCGGCCAATGGGATGCAGTAGATCAGCCCGTTGTCTGCTTGCACTCCGCCATACCATTTGGCATCCTGGGTCGACAGCCCAGCCAATGTTGTGGTGTCGGCTGTGTTGGTGTTGGGATCAATGATCAGCACAGAGCCCGCAGCGAATGGAATACCGAAGATGAGGCTGTTGTCAGCCACCACACCACTCAGCCACTTGCTGTTCGTCGAGCCAAGCGAGTGGATGCTTGTGGTGTCAGCCGTATTGGTGTCGGGGTCGATAATGAGCATCGTCTCCCTGTTTGATGGGAACATGTAGATGAGGCCGTTGTGTGCCAGCACGGCACCCGCCCACTTGGCTGGATCCGGTCCGAGTCCGGAGATTGTGGTTGTGTCAGCGGTGCTGGTTCTGGGATCGATGATGAGGACGGAAGGTGAGTTGTGAGGTGCCGCATAGATGAGACCGTTGTTGGCCAAAACCCCGCCACGCCACTTGTATGAAGACAAGCCAAGCTGCCCAAATGTGCTGGCAGTCGCCTCACACACCCTGCCTCGAAGAGCGGCGATCATGCTCTGCTGGGATTGAAGCGTGCAGTTCTGTGCTGCGATCATGCTCTGCTGTGCTTGAACCGTTGACTGGTACGCCTGCAAGATGCTCTGCTGTGCCACCACGGTTCCACGCAGCGTTTGCATCTCCGAAACGACGTTGACGCCATTCAGGAACACGGGCTGGGTCGCTGGGTCACTCGAGTTGACGTGCACAGCGCCGCTGTCATCTTGCGCCAGCTTGGCCCTGTTTGGTGTTGGTGGTGTGGCGATAGCCTCGACGCGGCACGCGCACACAACCAGGAAGAACACAGCCAACAAAACGGCAGCATGATGGAGCTGTGGGAGCGGTGGGAGGAGAGGGAGGACACCCGCCGCCATTTTGTTGCAGTGGGTTGTTGTTTGTGAAGTCGGGAAGAGTTGCGAAAGAATTGCACGACTTTTCAAGCCAAAGGCAACAGTGCGCAACGACAACCTCACGCATGTTTCGTTCAATGATCCTGAACCAGGACTTTGTGTGGTTCTGGCATGGTGGTGGGATGAGACATCGCTTCTCACTCATTGTTTAATCAAACCAGGCAAGCAAAGTAAAACAGAACACGCCACATGTAACAAACACCACACATTCTATGGGTAGACGACAAGCAACTAAACACGGGAACAAGAGGAAGAAACGCGCGCGTCAACGAAATGCGATGGAGATGAAGTGGATTCTCAAAGACGGAAGAAGAAATACGAAGCAAAGTGAAGGGAGGGGAGGGGATGGGATGGAAAAGAGATTGCGGTGGCACCGAAAAAGCAGCGTATGCGGGGACAGTGGAGATGGGAATGGTGTCCACACAAACAAACAAGCAGAACAGACGAGGACTGATGGAAATGAACGAACTTCAGTGGCGGACAGGATGCAAAGCACGCACAGCAATGACCTACAAATTACAGCATTGACACACGCACACGCACACGCACACGCACACGCACACCCACACACACACACACACACACACACACACACACACACACACACAGAAGCACACCCCCACACACAGACAGAAGCAATACACACGCCCAAAGACTTCAAGCACACATTCGCGTACTCGAAACACTCACGCCTCAAACACAAGGACGGCTCGAACAAGGACGCACGAAGGGTCTGTCACTACGATCTCCGCAGCCGACACATTGCCGCCCTGGTCCCACTGCGTGTGTGGGTGGAACGGCTGTGAATGTCGAATGTCGCCACTGGTGAAATCAATGACTGCCACGTGAGCGTCGTGTCTGGAGATGAGGGGCTGATCACGGAACGACCGCCATTTCCGTTCCGGGTCATGTCGTCGGGTGGGGTGAAGGCTCTTGTGCGTCACAGGATACGGGTTGCCGTACATGACATCGCACGCCAGAACAACGCGGTAGGCTTTGCCTGGCTCAAGCTTGAGGCAGTGCAGTTCAGGTGGAGAAGAGTGCCTGGGCCGGCAGCGCGAAGTGTAAGCGAGGGCGTAGTCAAGGTCTGGCGTGAAGTAACAGCCCGCACCAAACTTCGCACCTTGGGTCTGCAGTTGTGCAAAGTCACCGCCCAGGATGCCAACAACGGCCTCAAGGGATCTCACACCATGGAACACGCGCTGGAGGCGAATGGGCGGATCTTTGTCCACGCAGTTCGCGTCAAGCATGTTGTACAGGCGCGACGTGTCAAGCACGTTGTAAACGCCAGGACGGCCAGAACGGGTGACGCGCTCCAGCACCGCCCGCTCCTCGGCATCTGTTGCCTGGCCCGTTAACGTGTCGTGGGCGTATTTGGGCGCAAACGGGTGGCCGGCGCTGGTGAGGTGGCCACGATAGCGGGTGTTGTTGCGGTGCAGGGCGCCGTTGAAGGCGACGAGCTTCTGCTCGCACCACGTGATGGCGACGCAGCACAACGTGCGGCCGAAAGGGCAAAGCGGATTCTGCTGGGCGGTCCGGCCACCAGCAGCGTGAAGGAGCTGCAGGGTGCACATATGTGTGTGTGTGCGAGTGAGTGTGTGTGCGAGTGAGTGAGTGTGTGTGTGTGTGTGTGTGTGTGTGTGTGTGTGTGTGTTTGTGTGTGTGTGTGTGTGTGTGTGTTGGATTCCAAAGTGAGAAGGGCGAAGAGCAAGATGCCAGCACCAAGCTGAGATGGGGTCGTTGAGTGCACTGTGAAGAAGCAAGACACGCGCACGCACGCACACCGAGCACACAAAGCACACAAAGAACACGAAGAACACAAAGAACACGAAGAACACATGACAACTCCCCCCCCCACACACACACACAAACACAAACCTCAGTGACGGCGTCCTCGTCAGGTTGAAGTGGTGCAATGTGGACGGATTGGCGCGTCGACAGCTCCGTCGCTTGCACCGCGGCCAGCAGCTGCTGTGGAAACTTCCACACCGCATCTGGTGGTCCGTGAAGCAGCTCCTGCTGTTTCTTCTCGCCAATTTGAGAAAGCCGGTCGCCAGCGTCGTGTTGCGCCTTCAGGGCCGTGTGCAACTGACAGAACCCAACACGATTGCCGCTCGACTGGAAGCACCCACGGAGCAGCGCCTTAAATGCGCCTTCCATTTTCCGCCCCTCCTCAACATCAAGCGGCAGGTACTCATGTTTGTCGTACTTGTCGCCAAGCGTTCGTCCGGAGATGCGTTCCCCGCTGTACTCCCCGTGGTGCCAGGGTTTGGTGTTAAACCACACCTCCCACATAATGCAGCCAAATGAGAACACGTCCGTGTCAGCTCGCAATGGCTGCTCCAACAACTGCTCCGGTGATGCCCACAGCGGTGTGCCGACCACCTTCGACACCACAGACGCATTCTGGCACGAACGCGCTCAGGCCGAAATCCGCCACCTTGGCGGAGAGCGATGCGTCCAGCAGCACGTTGGGCGACTTGAGGTCGCGGTGCACGACGTCGTGGGCGTGCAGGAACTCCATCGCAGCCGCCACCTCGCTCAAGATGCGCAGCTTCTCGACGTTGCTGATGTGTTTCTTGTGTACGTGGATGTAGTCGTACAGGGACCCGTTCTCTGCCCAGCTCAGCACGAAGGCAAGCGTGCTGCGATCGCTGTCATGACACAGCCCGAGAAAAGGCACGATGTTTGGATGGCGAAGTGAGGCAAGGACGGCCACCTCTCTCAGCACACGCTTGTCAGGTACACGCGACTGTGCTGCTGTTGATGTTGAAGTTGCTGTGTCGCTCATTGCTTCCAGCAGGTGCTGCAGTCGTGGTCGCTCTTCAACATCGTCAACTTCCTTCAGCGCCACGTCGTGCCCAGCAAACGTGCTGCGATATAGCTTGCCAAATGCGCCCTTGATGGGCTTGCCTTCGTGGTCTTTTGCGCGTTTCTTCTCCTCGAAGCGGGCTGGATTCAGGTCGAGATTGAAGAGGGACTCTACGAAAAGAAGGGAAACACAGCCAGGCGTGAGAGAATTATGAACAAGGACAACACAGGCAGGCAAATATGTAGGCAGAGGAGATGAAAAAAAAAAAAGTACCTGTTGCTCGCGCAAGCTTTTCCGTGCTCTCCTGCACTTGGTGTTCTTCCAGACCAAGCAGACACAGAACACAGGCGTGTGAGTGATGTCACAGAGTCACTCGAGATCACTCAGAGCGAACAGGCAATTTGCAGCATGTATCAGCACTCACGGAGCTGCCTGATTGTTTCGTCCTTCGTGTTCGCAGCATTTGCATGCTCTGCGAGCTGGTCGTCTGAAGCAATGCAGACGAAACACAGGCGTGTGAGTGGTGCCACAGAGTCACTCGAGATCACTCAGAGGGCACAGGCAATTCGCAGCATGTATCGGCACTCACGGAGCTGTGTGATTGTTTCGTCCTTCGTGCTCATAGCATCTACATGCTCTGCGAGCTGGTCACCTGAAGCAATGCAGACGAAACACAGGCGTGTGAGTGGTGCCACAGAGTCACTCGAGGTCACTCAGAGGGCACAGGCAATTCGCAGCATGCATCGGCACTCACGGAGCCGCCTGATTGTTTCGTCCTTCGTGCGCATAGCATCTGCATGCTCTGCGAGCTGGTCACCTGAAGCAATGCAGACGAAACACAGGCGTGTGAGTGGTGCCACAGAGTCACTCGAGGTCACTCAGAGGGCACAGGCAATTCGCAGCATGTATCAGCACTCACTGAGCTGCCTGATTGTTGCGTCCTTCGTGCTCATAGCATCTGCATGTTCTGCGAGCTGGTTGCCTGAAGCAATGCAGATGAAACACAGGCGTGTGAGCGGTGCCACAGAGTCACTCGAGATCACTCAGAGGGCACAGGCAATTCGCAGCATGCATCGGCACTCACGGAGCTGCCTGATTGTTTCGTCCTTCGTGCGCATAGCATCTGCATGTTCTGCGAGCTGGTCGCCTGAAGCAAAGCAGACACAGAACACAGGCGTGTGAGTGGTGCCACAGAGTCACTCGAGATCACTCAGAGGGCACAGGCAATTCGCAGCATGCATCGGCACTCACAGAGCTGCCTGATTGTTTCTTCCTTCGTGCTCATAGCATCTGCATGTCCTGCGAGCTGGTCGCCTGAAGCAGCGCACATGAAACACAGGCGTGTGAGTGGTGCCACAGAGTCACTCGAGGTCACTCAGAGGGCACAGGCAATTCGCAGCATGCATCGGCACTCACGGAGCTGCCTGATTGTTTCGTCCTTCGAGTTCATAGCATCCGCATGTCCTGCGAGCTGGTCGCCTGAAGCAGCGCACATGAAACAAGAGCGGTGAAGAAGCAGGTTTGCTGAGTGGGCACACATTGTCCGAGGCGATTAAAACAAGTCACCCCAGGCAGAGCTGAAACAGAACGTGTAGGCAGCGATCGGATGTGCGTCCTCGTCAGCATGTGCAGACCATGACAGGGCCTGACCAGTTCCTTTCCCACACAAGGGGGACACAGTGACGTTCACGTATTTACCGTGTCACGAGCTCATGAGAGCAGTGTACAAGGCCGCTCACAAAACAAACACCAACACCAACTTGTGAGGGTTTACCTTGCTTTTCCCGTTCAACGCCGCGTGTCAATTCTCGTTCCTCCGACCTAGAAGTGCCAGCCCAGACCAAAGAAAATTGAGTTCATCCACATAAGGGCGAGGAATGCAGGTACAACACACGACAGAGCATGAAGAAGCGCCGCAGCTGTGAACGCACATGTACCACTGGACGTCCCGTGCTTCTGGCCACCCTGCACCAACTGCGTGGGCAGCAGGAACGCCAACGTTGATCAGCCTAAGTCGAGAGAACATGCGCGTGGATTCAAGACAAAAGCAGGCGAGGCGGCCGAGATGTAGTTATGATGAGCCGCTTGCATGGTGATTGTGATGGAATTTGTGATGCACCACAACAACACGTAAGGCGCCAGAGAAGCAGGGAGAGCAAATCACAAGCATGACCCACGCATGATTTTGACACACGGGTGAAACCCACAGAAGCTCCTGCAGTCCTGAGTGGTCACGCAGAGCCGTGGCCAACGCTTGACAGCCTTGAGGTCCAATCGGGTTGTTCCCAATGCTGCAAAGAGTGACACCAATGGCAATATACACGAAGGCGTGAGAAGGAGAATGGCCGGTGGTCGGGAAAGAATCTCAACAAGAAAGCCCATCACCGTGTCGCGTGCCTTGTTCCCTCACTGATCACACTTGGGATGACTGCGACGTATGCACTGCACTCAATTGACTGACTGCAGCTCTCGTAGATCGGTGTATCCTTGCAAGGCGTCAGCCAACATGACGCAGTCCTCAGATCCAATCAGGTTATCGTACAACCTGAACACGACAGGAACGCAAGTGTCCGTGTGTGTGTGTGTGTGTGTGCGTGTGTGCGTGTGTGTGTCCGTGCGTGTGTGTGTGGGTGTGCGTGTGTGTGTCCGTGCGTGCGTGTGTGCGTATGTGTGTCCGTGTGTGTGTGCCCATGTCCGTGTCCGTGTGTCCGGACGTGCAAGCGTGCGCGCACATGAATACTACAGGCACGAACCACCACACACTGCACACTGGAGATGGCCCAGGAAACACATCGCAAGCGTCATATCTTGGAATCGCAACACTCACAACACGCCTGTGGGCGTGCTCACCTCAGAACCTCGATGTTTTTGTTGTTTCTCCTGTCGAATGCAATTGCCAAGCTTTGTGCGCCTTTGGTTCCCAATGTCGTTCCGACCAGCCTGCAAAATAGGCGTTTGGTTGAAACCAGTCAGTTCTCAAACGTGCAAGGCGCGGAATAGGCCAGTGACGAGCTACAGCATTGATTACATGATTGGACCGCTTGCAGGAGATGTCATGCAGGACTGCTTGCATGTGCACAACGGTGATGATGCAAACCCGGCAAGTCACATTGCAACACACTCTATATCTCTCGCAGGTTCATCGCATGCGATAGATCGAAGGAGTTCCTTGATGTGATGTTGCAAGCCTGCCTCTTGCATCAACTGCTCCATCACGTCCAGCTGGTTGTCCTGCCGCTGCCACCACCTCCACCGCACTGCTTCACCATCACTCGTGTCCTCTTCCACAGTCTCATCACTGCTTTGTGTCTGTGTGAGTGCCACAACACTGTCAAGAAGAAGTGATGATGGGTGGTTGGTGGTGATGTGCTGGAACTGCTCACGCGACTTTCTGCGCCCCAACAGAAACATCAGCCACAGAAGAGACACCCCCACCACGGCCGTCAAAGCCGCCCCAACTGCTGTCCGCACATCCACTTCATCCATCACTGTTGTTGTGTTGTGGTTTGTTTCTGCTGAAGGTGCCCGAACGAAAAGTGACAATTACACCCACCAATCGTCTTGCTTGTGTGTGAGGGCACAATTCCAAATCGGGTGGCAGGTGTTGCCAGAAACGCAAGGATTTTCCTTCTCTGTCAACAACAAGGCAAGCAAAGAAGGAATCCTTCTCTGTCAGCATGGCAAGCAGAGAAGGAAACAAACAGCGCGGTGCGTTTTGTTGATGTGAGCGCCACTTTTCGCCAACAAGACACAGAAAACAAAGGCACACTGGTTGGATGGTTTGTGGATGCGATCACAAAGAAGGCCTTCCTCGCGTACACGCAAGCCAGCAAGCAAGCACCTCGTCGTTGTTGTGGTGCAACAAGAAGGACACCTGCTGCGCGTGTATTATTGATCTGTTGCACAAGCAGTGGCAGCCACTCCACGATGCAGTGGGCAATGGAACCGTGCTCTTTGTGTCGCACATGGCGGTTCAAGGAAACGATGGCAGTTCAAGAAGGGAAGAAAACGACGCACGTGCTGAACGTGTTCAGCTTGCTGTTGCTTTGAGAGTTTGCACATCAATGTGTGTGTGTGTGTGTGTGTGTGTGTGTGTGTGTGTGTGTGTGTGTGTGTGTGCGTAGAAAGACAGTGTGTATGCAATACACTCGACTCACTCCACTGACTGCTCCCACCAACCACTGCCTTCGAATCCGATCTGACCACCTTTCCCACCACCCCCTGCTGCGATCAGGAAGCGTCTGCCACAAGAACTACACCCCCTCCCCGACTCTCATGCAAGCACCTGCTCGACGCTCGACCTCCATGCGCACACAATGTAAGCCGGCTGCAGTCACGTCCCTGTTCATCACTTTTATTCCTCCTCCTCGATCACACGCATGCACACACTCATGCACTCGCACACAAACGCACACATGGGACATTGCTGCCACCACCCGCAGTCAAACAGCGTGGGCGGCCGCTGGGAATGAACGTGGTTGAAGTGGTTGAGGAGGAGGGCAAAGAGCTCGTGCACGAAGCAGAGGACATGGCAGAGAGGGTGGGTGTGCATCCACAGCAATCACAACAACGCCACCACAATGAACGCGGCGGCACTGCTGCAACCAGTATATGGGAGCGGCATCACGCCCATTCCAACCAGCATTGCCTGCGCCTGTACATGGGCCAGCAGCGCCACCGTCCCTGACGCATGCCATGATGCCGACATTGTCAACGACACCAATCATCACAAGCACATTGCCACCGCTGCAGCGGGATTGCAGTGCAGACGCCGATGTTGGCCTTGTCTGCAGCAACGGCAACGACAGCAACAACAGCTGTGATGGCAGCAGAAACAGCGGCAGCAGTAGGGCTTGTCCACCCTCCTTTCCTAACACGGTGCCGCCGTTACCTCATGTCTGCGACGACTGCAGCGACAGCGCCACGGCCGTTCTTGCACACATCAGTGGCAGCCTTTCCGTCACCAACTCGCTTGATGGCATCACCATCATCCTCATCGTCGTCTTCATCACCCCATCGCCGTCATCAACAACAGCGGCCACAGCAGCAGCACCAGCAGCACCACCGGCGAGCACTGCTGCACCTCCAGCATCACTCTCAGCGTCTGTAGCGCTTGCAGACAGAGAGTCGGGGGCGGAGAAGATTCACATGCTCGGCTGTCGGTAAGCAATGCACACACCAGTGTGCTGTGGTTGTGGAGTTCAGCGCATGCTCGATGGCACGGTGATGTGTTCACTCACCCCTTCGTGTGTGTGTGTGTGTGTGTGTGTGTGTGTCTGTGTCTGTGTGTCTGTGTGTCTGTGTGTCTGTGTGTCTGTGTGTCTGTGTGTCTGTGTGCACGTCTTAGGCTGTGGCATCGAGGATTGGGCGGGCTTTTGAATCCAAGCGCGCTTCAGGGCAGCGACGAGGATGCTCGCAACCACCACCGGGTCAAAGTAGCAGACAGAAGGCTTTTCACTGCCCAGGTGGGTGTCTGTGTCTATGTATCTGTGTTTCTGGCTCTCTGCGTGTGTGCGTATGTGTCTGTGCACCGCGCATGTGTACGCATGCAGTGCGTCTCCTTCACTTCCCCATTCACTCCCCCCTCACGTCCTCTCCCGCGACGCACGCGCCTGCACTTGCATACAGATAAAGCGCGTTCCATCCTGCGTCATACAACGGCACGGTGTACGTGGCAGACTCATCAACGCAGTCTTCCACCGAGGACAGACAATGGTGTCTGGGGCACCAGCTGCGCAAGCTGTACAACATCGAGGCAGACCACGTCGTGCACCTCAGGGATGTGCCACAGCAGCAAGACAGTGTGTCGTGTGGCCTATTTGCGCTGGCTTACGCCACACTGCTGGCTGCTGGCCTGCATCCACTCGACTTGAACAGCGTCAGCATGACGGCACACCAGCTGCGCACGTGGTACTTGCAGTGCGTGGCTGATCGGGAGGCAGATGTTGAGGAGGCGCTGCTCATGAAGTTGCTACAAGAGGCACAACTCGACGACGACGACGACAACAACAACAACAACAACAACAACAACAACAACAACAACAACAACAACAACAACAACAACAACAACAACAACAACAACAACAACAACAACAACAACAACAACAACTTCTGCAACAACAACAGCAGCAGCAACAACAACAACAACAACAACAACAACAACAACAACAACAACAACAACAACAACCTAACAACTTCTGCAACAACAACTTCTGCAACAACAGCAGCAGCAGCAACAACAACAACAACTACAACAACTAATACTACTACAGCAACAACAGCCACACCTGCAACAGCAGTTGCAGTTGCTGCCACAAGTGCACCATACCGTCGCTCAGCATGGGCTGCTGAACAATCAGTTCCCGCATTATACCCAGCAACAACAGGCACAGCAACAGCATGACCACCAGCAGATCCAGCAACAGCAGCACTCGGCATCGTGGCAGATTGCGCTGCACCATGCACGAGGTGCCAAGAACAGACGCAGTCGGAGACGACGACGCCAACAGCGCAGACGCAACGCGCAGAGCACATCAACGTCGTCCTCCTCTATGCCCTGGAATGAGCAGTGTGGTTCCACCACTCCGGTCGCCGTGATGGAGAGTTTGCACATCCCAGTACACGGTTCTCACGGCAAGTGGAAGCACACTCGCCTTGTGTTTGTGTGTGTGTGTGTGTGTGTGTGTGTGTGTGTGGTTGCGAAGATTTTAAGATAACGTAAAGTTACGTAACAATCTTAGTAATTATATGATGGGGGTACTAGACGCACCTACTTAAGCTCCGTAACGTGATGGTTAAACCTCGGAGGTTCACTTCTCTTTTGCGCCGCCAGACAGGGCCGGCTGAACCTAATGGCTTTAATGACGGTCTATGCGACGCTCGTAACCAACAAATACCTAGGACACTATCGGTACTATCATGCAGAAACTAAGCCGGCTCGCTCCCCCAGGTATTGTAGATTACAGAGTTACATTCAAGAGAAGTTAGTTTTGTAGCAAATAGTACAACTCTTCCTACCAAATGATACACGTCATCCTGGGTCGAGCATGAATTGTTTATAGGCGCTTCCCTAGCAAGAACCAAAGTTCTGCGCTAGGATTCTTAATATTAAAAACTTAAGTGAACCGTCGGGCCGCATATTAAAACTTCTGACGAGTTCACTTGACTAAAAAAAACCACACACACACACACACACACACACACACACACACACACGCGCGCGCGCGCGCGCGCGCAGCAACACAATTCCTCCGCATCGCGTTCGCCAAACATGTCCAGGACCGCAGCATCGCGACGGAAGTGGACCGATATGAAGAGCACTTTGCTGAGCAGCCCATCGTTGCACAACTGCGCAAACTGGTCCTTGTTGTCGACGGAGGCCATGGATGTGCTGCAGATGTCCACGAGCTGGCAGTGCTGGACAAGTGTTCTGAGCCCATCAAAGTCGGCATGGAAGCGGGAACTACGGAGCGTGACGATGAGACCTTCATCATGCACCTTGCCCTTGTCTTGAAGAAGTTGGGCCGTCGAGAAGATTGCATAAGGCAATGTTCAAGCACCTGACGCTCTTGTCGGGGATGTCCTGCAGCCAGTCCACGATGTCATCCTTGAGAGAAGAGATTTGCTTCTCCCCGCGAAGGTTGATCTTGGATGATATGTAGCGGGCTGAGACGTCGAGCGTATTCCACCGCGGCACAGTGTTCGTTGGTGACAGTGCTTGCTTTCGATCCTTGTCCAAGTCGGCAATCTCGTCGTGCTCTGAGCAGTAGAGCTGGAAGAACCGCAAAGCCACATCGTGCAAATGCGGGCGTGGTGAAAACGGATCAGCAAGTGACTCCGGATCAGCAAAGGCAACGTCAGCGCTGCGGTAGGTCTTGAGAAATGGGTGGAGAGGCTTGAACGCTTCATCTTGGCTGCACAGGCGCTGCAGCTCTGTAGGTTGTTCCAGTTGTTCCTCTTCGTTGTTTCCCTTGGGCATGGTTCTATGGTTGTTGTTGTTGTTGTTGACGTTGGAAGGGCTGAAAGGTGGACGCAAGAAATGACGTGATTTGAAATTTGAATCCCTGCCCAACTGGGACAAAACAATCAAGCCTTGACTCTGTTGACTCTGACCACATTTACCTGCTGACTCAGTGAGACCCGCGTAACACACAACCCCACACCGCTACACCCAGCAGTGCTTGCCAAGAGAAAAACGCTTTCACGCGCTGAGGAGACGAGGAGCTGGAGTGCTGACAGCAGCAGCAGCAGGCTCATTGTTCACGATTGTAGCAATCGGTGCAGCCGGTCTACTCCTATCACTGCTCACTTCATCTGTGTTCCGATTGTTGTTCACTGTGTTCACGTATCATCAGTCGTTGCAAGTCGTTTTGTGTGTTGTGCCACAACTTATGCTCTGCGAGCTGAGTGTCCTTGTTTATTCTTGTTCTTATCTGAACATACACTCCGAGCTTACAATTGCACTCCTGCGGGCTCACAGCCTCGGACTCGATGACAAGAACTGCACCCAGCAACCATACAGTTTTGTGAAGCCTCATCGACCCCCCCCCTTTCCACAAACGAAATCACACACACGCACGCACCACACACACGCACGCACACACAGCAACTCAAGACAATCAGCAGCCTGGATCAATGATGAGGACATCTGATGAGCTGTGTGGGATGCCATAGATGAGGCCGTTGGTGGCAAGCACACCCCCATGCCATTGTTCGCCACTAGCTTGGGTTTCCAGTGACGTGTCATCCACCGTGTTGGACGTTGGGTTAATGATGAGTGCGGACCCCGTGCTGCGCGGAATGCCAATGATGTTTCCGTTTCGAGCCAGCACTGCACCACGCCACTTCCGGTTGCTACTTGAGAGCCCGGTAATGGAACTTGCGTCAGTCGTGTTATCTGTTGGATCAACGATCAGGACAAAGGTGGCACTGTCGGGGACTCCATAAATGAGGCCATTTCTGCCAATGCAGTGCCGTGCCACTTGGCTCCCGAAGCAAACCCAGAGATGGTGGTGGTATCCACTGTTTTTGAGGTCGGATTGATGATAAGCACACTTGTTTCCAAATAGGGAAGGCAATATATCAGCCCATTGCCTGCTTGCACGCCACCAAACCACCGAGACACTGCACTTGTTTCTGTGACGGTAATTGTGTCGGTCACATTGACGGCTGGATTGATGACGAGAACCAAGGAAGTCTGCCACGGGATGCCGAAGATGAGCCCGTTCATGGCAGCCACGCCACTGATCCACCTCCCTCCACCGGACGAGAATTCGCCAAGAGAACTGCTGTCAACTGCATTAGTGTACGGATTAATGATGAGCACAGACGTCGCATGGGCTGGAAATCCGAAGATGAGACCGTTGCCCCCGAGAACACCACCACCCCATTTTGCGCCTCCTTCGGGCAAGCCGCTGATGGTGGTTGTGTCGGCCGTGTTGGTTGCAGGATCAATGATCAGCACAGATGAGGAATGAAACGGGATACCAAAGATGAGCCCGGTGCTGGCTGAAACGCCACCAATCCAATCCTCATTTGCCTTTCCGACGTTTGCCATTGTTGTTGTGTCTGTTGACGGCGACACGGGAAACCGCCAGCAAAACGCCGCAACGTATCCCTCGATCCTGTGTTGAAGGGCTCGATTCTTGTCCTTCAGCACATCATTGACGCTTTGTTGAGCCATCAGCCTGCCAGCTTGCTCATCGTTGACACCCATCTGCTCCTCCAACATGCTGGCCTGTTGCTGCACCACCTCGAACATCTTCCCCACGTCCACGCCGTTCACAAAGACGGGTTCCTTCTCTGGATCGCTGGTGTTGATGTGCAGGGCGCCATACTCATCCTCTTCCATCACCACACCCCCACACACGCGTGCGACGACGACCAGCACCAGCAACAGCAGGAGGGGTTGGAAGCGGGCAGCCATCATCATCATTATGACTGTGAACGGCGAGCTGGTGATGGCAGGCTTGCTTGTAGGCTTGTTGCTTGTTGCTTGCTGGATGCCTGCTTCTTTCCTTCTTTCCTTGCTGTTGTTCTCGGTGTGGGTGTGGAGAAGTGATGGAAATCGTACATCATCCTTCTGCACAGACGGCAGGAAGAAGTGAAGCAGAGAAGAAGGCGTTTGGCTGTGCTGTGTTTGTGCTTGTTCTTTTGTTCTTTTGTTTGTGCTTGGTGCGTACACCCCAGACCATCTCTCCCCCTTCATCTTCCCATGACCCCGGTCCTCGCAGAGAGAACGAGGTCACCTATCTGTCTCCCTCTGTCTCCCCCTCCTCTCACAGTCCTACAGTCATGAGGCGATGTCCTTCCTCTTTCGCTTGCCTCACACTCAGCACACTCAATTCCCTCCTTGCGCTGCTGTGCATGCTGTACACCACCATCCCCAGCAACAACAACAACAACAGCAGCAGCAGCAACAATACGCTGTTCGCACATGCAGCGGTGATTGAGGAGGACGAGTGGGGCACCCTGCACATCAGCACCACCACAGCCAGCAATGGCAGCAACGACAGCGACGACAAGCACCAACCTCGTGTGCTGGTGAATGGGTCGATGTGGAGCAAATGCAAAGTCAGCTGCAGGAAACCGCTCGACTCGCAGACCACGTTGCAGCTTGTGCTGCTGCTGTGGCAGCGAAGAAGAATTGTCATGCCAGTACCTTGCTGCAGCAGCAAACCCTGGCG